AGAAAGGCTAGAAAATCATTACACCAGCACAAACGAGTACTCCTACGAGGGTGACTCTGGAATTTCACCTTATCCTCAACACGAACTCGAAGAGTTAAAATCGTCCTTACTTGATTTTGTGGAAGACTTAAGAAAGACAAGGATTGAACTAGCATCTCATGATGAGAGTATCAAGGAATTGTTTGAAAAAATCATTTATGACAATGACCACAAGGTTCAACAGGAGACATACGAGGAGGGTGCTAAATCTAAGGAGGAGGTTGCGGTAACCATGGGCGAGATGGTTGAAACTCTTCTCACCCCTATTTCTTTCGAGCCTCTCATTGCTACTGAGAGAGAGCCTATCCTCGTAGAACTTAGTTCTCAAGAGCCCCATATGAAAGTGCCCAATGAGGTTGATGAAGAAATCATAGATGATGAGATACTTTGTGATGAGGAACCTACCCTACCATCTATGGATGACCTCTCATTTAAAAAGTCCCTGAAGGATAGCCTTGATGATGATTTTGATCCTACACAAACCCAAACGCCTGTTGAAATAGTTGATGAAACTTGTGATGTGGAGGAAACAATGCCCGATGATGCCTTCTTTGATTCTCTACTTAATGATGATGAGCATAATTGTGCTAGGCAAGGACTTGTTTGCCTAGATGATATTTGTGGGAGTAGTGAGCGAAGTTGGGATGGATTTTTAGAGAGTGACACGGAGTTTGAATTTTGTGTTGTAAATGTCGAGGCCATAGTTGAAGAAGAAGAAACCCAAAAGGAGGAGCCTACTCGTAATGTTCTTACCATGGTGGTCCCACTTGAGCGATTTCAGGCACCTGAGGCCCCTGATCCTGAAATACTTGTTGATTATACTAATGAGAGTGATGCAGGATATGTGCTAATTTCTTGTTCGAACGATGTGTTCTTTGAAGATTATATCACATTTTGGTGGCCACGAGAGTTTGAGGGTCTACGCCATCTGACGGCATACCTGGAGGATAAGGTGGAAGCACTAATGATGAGTGCCCCACAATTGACATGCATAGCTGAGAGTTCTCTCTCAAACGTCAAGCTAGTGACGTTAAAGAAGCGCTTCTTGGGAGGCAACCCATGTTTTTCATAACATTGTTTGTTTGTTTTGTGTGTTTGCAGGGTGTGCTTCAATGTTGATGAAATAAGAGTTTGGCTTAGGCCTTACGGGAGGACACGAGTGATGCTTAGTTTTCTTCCTTAACATTTTATTGTGTTTGTTTGTTTATTCAGGTTGGACATTGTGCCGCTCTTTTGACTTAATTGCTCTTACAAACTGACTATGAATGATGTAATGATTTTTATTCCTGTTTCATTATTCCTCTTCACAAAATCTTTTCAAAACTCAAGTGTGAGGAAAGAACCAAAAAAAAAAAAAAGTGCCTTTATTTCCCAATTTTGTGCCTCAAAAGAAGACCTCGAGGGCGAGGTCCAGCTCAAGTGTGAGGAGGTTGCGTTTTACACTCAAAAGTCAAAACCTTGTTTTAGAACAATCTTTTTACTATTTTTGATATGAAACATTAATTTCTCAATTTGTTATCAAATCATAAAATACTTTAGATAATCACCCTTATTATAAGAATTTACTTTTATTATTATTTTTGAAAACTTAAAATTGTTATGGGTTTTTGGTTGCGAATGTAAAGGTCCGAATTTGTTTTAATTGGACATTCATTTTATTCATTAAAAAAAAAAACATGTTACTACTAATAAACCTCTTCAAAACTCATTGTTATAGGACAATTCCATCTCCGAAAAGGGGCTCTATTTCATTCGTTAATCACAGTCTGTGAGAATGAAATATGCATTTACCATGGGATAACACCGCCAACAAGAGTGAAAAAGAGCAAAAAAAAACAAAAAAAAAAATGGTGAACAAGATGAATGTCCAAATTAAAATAATGAAAACCTTGTGATAAGGAATTGATTGGTGGTTTAACATAATAAATAGTTTTTCTTAAGTAATACTAATTTTAAACTCTTGTATTTTGGGTGATTTTTCTAAAATGTTTAAAAATTGAGAATAAAAGATGAGGTTTTTGTTTCTACTTCTTTAAAATAGCAATTAGATTGTAATACAGTTAGGCTTACCTTTTGAGTGTGTTTACAACTAATTCGTCGCTTGAGGACAAGCAACGCTTAAGTGTGAGGAGATTGATAAGTCCATTTTTGTACTTATTTTTCTTATCAAATTTAAGCGATTTTTGAATGAAAATAGAAAGAAAAGACACATTTTATATATTTTGGTTCAAGTTTCATGAAATCAGGTAAAAATCACATCCATAATATGTTTAGCGGGATTTCGGGTCAATTGAGCACAAATGAGTCAATTTGAGTGACAAATGCATTTATACCGGAAGAAGCAAGCATTTTATCAAGGTGATTCAGAAGACAAAGTTGAAGAGCAAGAAAAGCCGCATCTGCCAGACAAAAGTGGCCGAAGGCGCCCAAATAGGCGCCCAAAATGGAGGCCTTCGCGGCCGCCTACGGGAAAATTCAGAAGTCAACCTCGCTTTGACTCGGGACCAGGAAAAGACTGAAGGCTGCCGACACTGGACAGAAGGCGGCCGCCTACGGTGGCCGCCTGCGGCACAAGAGGACGAAACCAACCACCGATCGGCCAGACAAGACGGCAGGCGGCCAGACAGGACGGAAGGCGGCCGCCTGCTGGACCGCCTGCGGCGGCCGGGGTCCGCCGGGATCCGTCGGGATCCGATCTGCCAACGAAAAGATGGCAGGCGGCCATTTTTGACAGAAGGCGGCCGCCCTCTGTGGCCGCCTACGGCTGACGGGACCGCCACCGACGGTCTGCCGGCGACAGGACGGCAGGCGGCCAGAGGCTGCCGGAAGGCGGCCGCCTGCCCGGGCGCCTACGGGAATTTTTCGGCTATAAAATCCAGGCTTTTTCCTCAACTCAAACACACCAATTTCAAGCCCAAATCAGATCAAAAAGGGCGTCTTCTTCCTCCTCAAAGCTCGGATTTCCACCATTGTTGCACCTTCAACTTCAATCTTTCATATCTTTCTCATTTTAGCTCCAAATTGTGAGTTCTTTATATGTATTTTCATCTTTTCAATGAGTAGAATCTGAATCTGTACTTAGTTGTTTCTATCTGTGCTTCTAAAATTTTCAGAAAATTATTCCACTATTTCGCATTTTCTTCTTAAATTTGAATAAAATAGTTGTTGACATTAAATCCATTCCAATTAATTATATAGTTGTTTACTAGCCTCAAGGTAGTTATTTATCAAAACAAAGTTAATTTTTACGAAGTAGAAGTAAATTTTAATTAATTCCGGCATTTAGTTGTTATTATTGCATAAATTAAATTAAATACTCAAAAAGGAAAAAAAAATTAGTTTCTGTCCTAATTCTAGTTTAATTCACAGTAATATCACTCCCAGTAGTCAATATAAAATTTAGAACGAATTTAAAATAATTTTAGTTGCTTTTTGCATTTTCTAGTTAAATTTGGGAAAATTATCAATTAGTTGTTAAAATTGGATTTTAGGTTCAAAAATTCGTGAAAAATTCCAGAAAGTTATACTTCAGTTTCTACAAGTTTATTGTTCCAGAATATAAGTTTTGCTATCATCCATGTTTAATTCCTTGTTAATGTTGAATATATTCATTATATTGTTAGTTGTTAAAATGATCTTTATTAGCTAAATTTGTTTTGGGCATGAATTGACTAAAGGAATATGGATTGACTTGTTGACCAAAAAATTAGGGATTAAAATTAATAATGGGGACTAGTTGTTTGAAATGATGAAATAGTAATTAATAATTGTTAGCCATATTAATTAAATTCTTGGAAAATTATCTCTAACTTGTCTATGAGATTAGAAAATAATTTAAGCCAACCATATTCGAGCACATTAATAAGGCCTAGAAATAGGATAATTTAATGAAAGGGATTTACATCTTGTCTATGAGAGATAAATTCAATTGCTTAAATAATGAGTTTAACTAGTTAATGAATTTGGCTATTTTTATTAATTAAAATATTGGAGAATTATTTCTACCTTGTCTATGAGGTTAGAATTTAATACAAGCCAACCATTTTGAACACATTAATGACACCTAGAAATAGGATAAATTAATGAAAATAGTTTCTATTCTTGTCTATGAGGAAAGAAATTATTAGTCCACTTTTAGTTTTAATTTCCCTAATTATTAGGTCCAAGAATATATCCATTTCTAATTACTCAATTCATTGCCCTTATTTGCATCAATCCATTTAAGTTTAATATTATATTTTTTCCTTTAGTCTATTTTTGAGCCATCATTAGTATTTGCACAATTTAATTTACTTTCTTTTCCAAAAAGTAGTTTAGAAAATCAATCCAAAGTTTTAATTTGGAAAGCTTTCAATAATTTGCGATAACCTGTGACTGGACTTGAAATCAAGAAGCTCCTCCGCCATTCCTCGAGAGACACGATACTCGGGGAAAAACCGAAAGGTTAGACTCCGTTTTACTACAACGCCGCGAAAGCGGTTATCAATGACATAAGTAGAACATAACTGGAAGTATAACGTTGCTCTGCATAATTATTGTTACTATTAATGGTTTAATTTACTAATTATTTGGTCAACAAAAGTTAACTAATTGATTAATGCTTAAGTGTGAAGTAAAATGGTACGCTGTACTGAGTATAATAATATTAAAGTTGCAAAATTTAACATGTTCTAGTTGTAGACCGGTTGAGAGGCTATATTTCATCCCGAAGGTCGTGAGAATGTGAGATCGAATCACGTGTGCCATGTCTTGCCAAAGTCAGGGTTTTTGCTAATTTCCGAGTTTCCTAGTTCTTGGTCCGTTCCGGTTTGATCCGAGTCATCAATTTTTTCCGGGTTTTAACACTTTAGCGGCTTGAAGGTCAACCGGACCGGATTTGGAACCGGGTGGGCGGGTTCCGGGTCAAACCGTCCGATCCGGTTCGGGTCTTACAACACAGATTTCAAGCTAAACATACACTCTTTATGGGAACACGCCCATTATTATTCTTTATTCCTCCTATTAAATATAGACCACTCAACACAAATTTATTATCATATACATTAAAAATGATATAGGTGAGTAGGTGACACAAAATGCTTTGCATTTGCTTTCTTAACAAAAATAATACACAAAACTACAACATTAACGTCAACACTTGGCATATTATTTACTCTGCATGTACCAGTCGGACTTGAGAGCATGAAAATCAGTTGACAAACAAACGTGTGATACTTTGGTCATTATTGAACCCCCAGTACATATTTTGGATGAAGCAGGTCCAGACCTACATTATTCCAACAAAAAAATCTCCAAAATTTAACCAATTAGAATTCAGGAAATCATCCAAGTAAATACCACCATTCATATTAAGATTTCATGGGAGTAACTGAAAATTGGCAAACACCAAAACATATATGCAATTAGGCAATGCAGTTATATTTTATTCACAAGCGAGTTTGGTGTCAAAGCTGCTCAAACAGATGGCGAATGCCTGAAAGGCAGACAAAGGATATCTATAATCCATGGTGAACATATCTTCTCCAACCTTCCCAAACTGCAATATGATCTTTTCAGGATCAGACCGGTGGGCTGGCTGAACTGGCGGCAGTGTCTCTGCAATCAGCTGGAAATTCTTGACAGAAGCAACAGTTACCCTTCCCCTAAAATTAAGGCACCAGCACTGCAACTGTTCATGCCACCTGGGTGGCTTATTCCCAAGCACCAAAAACCCTCCTTCCTTCACACCATCTCCATCGCCTTGTTCTTCCTCATGCCACCGGGCACTGCTGAACTCAGATGAATCATCAATACATTCTGAAAAGGGTATGCTCCTCCGGAATGAGCTGCCCTCAAGTGGACCCGGGACGTTGGCACCGGGCTCAAGAGATGAAGCAGGGATGGAGTACATGAAACAGTGCATCTTCCTTGGGCCCTTTGTGCCGAGAACATTCACTTCATATGTGACTTGTGCAATGGTGTGGCTTCCTGTAGGGACTTTGGGGAAAACTTTCTTGTATTGTGGTTTTTGAGTGTCATAGATTATGAATTTGGTGCCAAGAAAGTTTGATCTGAAACATATAAGATCCAATTACTGTTAAATAAAATCGCACTCCATGAAGGTTATAATATCAAATTACATGTCGAGCTCCATGCTAACCTATCCACAATCACAAGCAATTAAATGGAGAAGATAATAGAGGAAAGTTGGAAGGAATAAAGGTTTGGGGGAAAACAAAAGAGAGGTTCAAACTCAAGAAAGTTTGTTCTAGTTTTTTTAAACTCCATTTATCTATTAATTGCTGTAATAGAAAAACACTAAGAAATCATACATGCAGAAAAGATTAAAAGACTAGTCTTAAGTCATTCTCCTTCGCATTTTCCATGATAAAACAAAACGAGAATAATTTTTATTGATATTTTTTTCTTTCCTGTCATTTCCTGTGAGACAAACATAACCTAAATGAGTAGTGGGCAGTCATGGGTAAGTGTCTTATCCATGTGTTTTCTACTTCACAATCTCGTTTTCTCATAGTTCCTTTTACTGTTGGTTTTTGTTTCTTAATTTTCTTTCTTTTGTGACTTTTGTGTACATCTTGTCTGAAAGCCCTGTCTGTTATCTTGAAAGACATGATCATACAGAAACAGAAATCTGTACTGGTTTTTTCCAGGATAGTTTACAGACAGTATATATGAAGGCAGGATATAATTAAGTTCCAAAGGAAACAGACCTAACTTTTCCCATGCAAGTGTTTGTAGACCGAGATATGTTATCCACATCTAGTGAGATAATATATTCTGTGCGTGTAGTCTTCCGGCTCCGCTTAGCAGAAAGAAGAAACTTTCCATTTTCTACCAGCAAGTCTGTGGAAGAAACAACACATTAATGTCATTGTATGACATACACTGCTTTTTAATGATGTGCAACAAAGATGTTTCAGAAAAACATATTTAGATCCCCACCCTAATCGTTATTCTTTAAGTCCTTTTTTGGTTTAGAAGAAGGGAAGGGGAGTGGAAGAAAATGCAATAGTTTCAGATGTTATGTTTGATTCAGTGGAGGAGGGAAGAGGAGGAAGTATTGTTTTAGAAGAATCTATTTATATAATTTATGTTTGATGGATTACAACTTTTTAATACTTTAAAATATGCGTAGTAATCTATATGTAAAACAATGATAGCGTAGAAAAAGAATATGTCGTCCAAAATACCCTATATGTAAAAGCAAAAAAAGAATTATAAAAATACAACTCCTCCAAAATACCCTAACTGGAAGAGTCAGATATGAAGAATATGGAGGAGTCTATAGGTTGTCCACTTTTCTCCTCTTCCCTATTAACTACCCTAACCAAATCCCCCACCCCACCCTTTCCTCACTTTCCAATCTTTTCTACCATTCCTTCCTAATCAAGGACTTAAAATCTAATTTGACCAGAGTGTCAAACTGTCATCATGGTGACAAAACAAACTTCATGTCAACAACGAAATTGATGCAAGCAACACTTTCAACAGAACATCGAAACTCGAAAGTGGCTCCTAATATCAGGTCACTATGCAAAACCTAATTGTTACTGAAAAGGTATATCAAAATGAAGTTTTACATGAAACAAGTTTAGATTCACAAAAATATTTCACAAAAAATATTTCACAAAAAATAAGTGGATCAATGAAAAGCTTTTCCTCAAAGAAGAGTTACCTGGGCTAAGACAGAGGAAAAGGCGGTAAGTTAGTTTAGATTTGTCTCTCTTAATGAAGCACTGAATGGTTCCATCCCGATGCCCTGGCTGTAGAGTCAAACAGACATGAAATTATTAACAACGTGTATCCATCGTCAACACCCCCCAAAAAAAGAGGCATGCTTGTAATACAGACTTAAGTTATACAAACAAGCCTCTTTTTAATGAGACCGAGGGAGTAATTGTTTTTCCCCTATCATTACATATAAGTTCATGACTGCAGTTGACTTAATTTAGAAGAAACTAATTAGACGTTAGTAGTATGTTTGAATCCCAGAAAGTCTAGACAAAGGGGGAGGGATGCTAAGAAAAGTTATGTATCGTGTCTCGTTATACCATAGAAATGCAAAAGGAAATGAAATACGATTAATGCCTCAGCAACTTTTACATATGTGTGGACTTCGAGACATTGAGAAATAAACAAAATGAGTTTGAACAAAAACAAAAAACAAATACATTGACATTGAGAAGCTCTTTTGATTTCCCACACATCTTCTTTCCGCCCAAATTTCCTCTATAGCTGTTTTCTTTTCCTCTATGAACCCTAAATAAAATTGTAGGAAAATGTTTTTACCTGCTTCAGAGAGACGGGGAAAGTCAGCTTTCCTGATAACTCAGGAGTAAGAACAATTTCCATGCACATTACTCTCCATGCCCGGCAAACCCCAGCGCAGGCAACAACATGCTTGCGGGTTGGCCATGTACTCTCATGGGTCTCTAGCCTTTTGATTACATCGCGAAGTAATTCCAGCGGAAGGCTGGCCCAACAGCTGCTTTGGGTGATGATGGCAGGTTGGTCATGCAACTCGTGGACTGCCCCATGAGACTTTCCACCCCTCTGTTGACTAGTCAATCTAAGCTCGAAACTCCGCCTTGATAAACTCCCAATACTATCCCTTATATCACGAGCTATACTTCTAAAAGACATTTACTTGCTTTATGTACGCTTGTCTTCTGAGATGAGTTCATCCAGACTAGATAGTAGATATACCTAAGAAAGTATGGGTTTCAGACTTTAAGCAAAACAAATTATGCATACCTTAGAGACAAAGAAAACAAAGTGATGGAAAAGCACAGAGCAAGTCAAGAAGATTCCCTAACCAAAAGAAATCCTCAAATTGAGCTCTTAAAGGTGTCTTATCCAATCTTTATAGCTCTAATTATTTTATACGGAGTATCAGTTCACAGAACCAATTACAACTAGTTATGAACAAATACTACCCAACAATCTACAAATTAGAAATTAGGGGAAATAAGCAATAAGCAGCTTTTGTTTTAAGTTTTCTATATACAAGTACAATAATACATCTGCAAATTTACGCAAACAAAACCCAGTAGTTCAATTGGCTTAGCTAACGGAGATGAAAACAAAAACCCTAGACCTGAAATATAACTCTCAAACCTCCCATCAAATCTTTGAACAACAAAAGGTAACTTTATCAGATGTTCACGCCCCACAGTAACTGGAATTGCTTCCACGAACTGCACAGCTGATAAAGTGTTCAACAATCTCAGCAAGGGAAAAACGAAATTTTTACCTAATTTATCCTCACATATAGGGAAGAACAGCTAGAAGGAGCGCAAAAGTAAAATCTTTTTCGGTAAAGATACATACAGCTTGACAGTTTTAAAGAAAATGATGGAAAGGAAGTTTCATAGGAAATAGCCATAGTTTTGGTAACTCACTCGTAAAATCGGCTATTGATCAGCAATAGAAGAGATGAATGAATATAGAAGTGATTGAAACTCATCCAGTCATCCCAGCTGTACGAGTAATACCTAGAAACCCGTGATAAATCCACTTCACCAGCTTCGTCTGGTTTTATTATTTCATTTTCTTGGCTGAAACACCTTGGCGGCTTAATTATGGTTCGTTTGGTTGGTGGGGAACTTAATTTCTTGGATTGAAGTTCTTTTGTAAATTTAAAACAGCAGTTTTTTTATCCAGAAATCATATACTCCCTCCGTCCCGCAAAGATGTTTCCGGTTTGACCTACACACATATTTAGGAAATAAATTTGGCTGTACTATTTAGACACTGTTTGGCACTGTTTAGACACTGTTTGGCACTGTTTAGACACTGTTTGACACTGTTTTGCACTGTTTGACACTGTTTTGATGTAGGATAATTTTCCATTTAGGGAAAGAGAACTTCTTTTTGGGACATCCAAAAAAGGAAAGCGGGAACATCTTTGCGGGACGGAGGGAGTAAAGTACTCCGTATAAAGATAGAGTTTTTTTAAATAAGTATAAACCAAGCACTCCAGCCTAGCTGGTTGCGAGGTTATCGTGCCTAGTGGGAGGTCTCGAGTTCGAATCCCGCTAGGCACACACAAGGGTTTGAAACTCAATGGGCTGAGTTTCAGCCCTGATTACTCCAGGCTCCCCCAGCCCCCTCCCCCAGACCCCCCTAGAGTTAAAAAAAAGTATAAAGATAGAGTTAGTTACTTCATACAAAACAATGTGACTTGTTAGATACTAAACAACGATTTTAAGTCTAAAATGACCCGAATCAAAATATTGTCTGTCAAAATTACTCTAAATATCCAAATATTCAAAACAAACACATTCCAACTAAAATAAAATATAAATACTATACTACTAAAGAACTAGAATAAAATCTTTTCACAAAACGGTTCTTGACACATATGTGGTTTCGATGTAGGACAAACTGCTACAATATAGGTGAATACAAAATTTTTCTTCTTACTTCATTCTGGATAGACGTAATGACAAAAACAATCTTTATGGCTCTACCTAGCATTCCCGACGTACTCCAAAAGAAGACAGACAAAAACCATTGATAATGTGAAGCTGACCGAGACTACAAAACTAGCTAATTCCCGCATCGAGGGGGCACAAAACACACCAGAGTGCAAGTTACCATGATAGAACCGCCATAAAACAAACCAATTACAACAACATAAGAAGAATAGTCAAATTGGGTTATACCCCTACCAATTATCTCCGAGAGCTAGCGGATGTCACTTATAAAAGAAACAAGCCTCAAGATTCAACCCTAGGATGAGAGAGAGTCTATCTCTCCCTTTCCATCACTCACCTTCGTCCCAACTACCCGTCCCTTTTGTCGTCCACCTCACTCGCTCTCTTGGTTTGTCGGCTGCACAAGAGGTTTGCTAGTTACCTGAGTATTACACGGATTGGATTGAAGTTCTTTGATGTTTGATCTTCTAGTGCGGTAACCGTGGGGGAACATTTACCAAATTTTAGTAAAAAGAAAAATAATATAGAAGAAAGGGGAACCATACCAAAACCTCTTGAGTGAAGGCATACCCAAGAAACGAGCAATTGGGGGAGGGCGCTAGGCCTGACCCAAAATAAATAACAAAAAGACATGAAAAATTACTCAGAAATTCTACAGAAAAAAGGCACATCAAAACCTCTTCAGAGAAGACATACCTTCACAAAATACATGATAAAAAGAAACGAGCATTTTGGGGGGGCTAGGCCTGACCCAAAAAAAAATACCTAGAAATTCTATGAAAATAAGGCATACTGGTATAGTCTGTACTTAAAGCTTTCTTGATTAAATGAGGAACACATTCTTAACGCTCAAACAGGAAATTAAGCTGTTGGGATCATATAAGGTATAACCCTGAGTAAATATATGTGCGGTCCAGTTGGCTTCATCAAGAGTTTGTTGGAACATTATCCCAGCCAAATTGGAACCTGACTGCATTTCCTGTAGATAAACCTTACATCTCCCTGGGTAAGATGTATCTTGAAGAAGAGAGATGAGCCTTAGACAATTCGTCTCCATTTCAAAGCCTGTAAAACCATTATCCAGCGTCCATCGAAATGCAAACACAGCGGCTCAGATTTCAGCTTCCAGAGCAGACTCCGCTTGAAATGAAAGCTGAGGCCACCAATCGATCTATCGAGTGAGAAAGAGGCATCAACATTAAGTTTTAATAGATTCCTAGATCGAATCCGTCTGTTTTTTTTTTGCCGGGGAATACTACCCAAATTTATTAATAAAAGTTAAGGTTACAAGAGATCGCATAAAACGATACAGAGAAGAGAAAGAAAAACGAACATTTAAAAGCTGAAGTAAAATATATAATAAAAAACATTGATTTGACAGCTGAAATTATTTGTAGGTATCCCGACCGTCAATGAAATGGATCTATTAAATCTGTTGTGGAACTGAATTGCCTTCTAGTGATAGATTATAGCTTTCGAGTGAGAAGACTTGTATCTTTGAAGAGCTGTAGCAAGTTTGTGTGGAGAGTTCAACTGTTCAACCTAGCATCAACATGGTAAATGTAATAATCGTCTTCATGTTGAGGATATCTAGATTGACTTCTTGTGAGTTGTGACCATGGGGTGTGATGTATAGCCCACCTCATAAAATAGTTGTTTTGATCTGAGTGAAGCCATTGGGTTCCTCTTCCGATGGACATAGCGGTGGACCTGAAAGAACAAGGTTAGGAGTAACAGTGGTGTCCTCACATTGATTATCATCATTGGACAGGGAACGATCAAGTGTAATATCGAATCCATATGATTATTTCACCTTTGTCCTCGATTTGTTAAGCTTTGGTGAATTAAGTATTTCTTTCGGCAAAATATTAAAACTGGTATTACACTTCCATTTCTTGAGATTAAGAGACCAATTTTGTGCATGAAGCTTGATTTGAAAAATTATATAATCGGTCGAAGAAATCGACTCCTTACTCTCCTACGTCAAGCTCGCATATGCCTTCCATATGTGCCATGTAAATTCATCCTTTATAATTTTGCAATATTACTTTTTTTTGTTTTCCAAAAACATTATCACTTCCACTTTTAATAAATTAATATGTCATTCCTAATTTTCTACAATATCATTTATTTATCTTCCGCACAAATTTTAACCACATAGTGTTTACTTTATTATTTTATGTGCTGGTGAAATTTGACATAATTATAAAAAACATAGTGATTGAGCAATATATTTCCTCAGCCTCTTAAAACTTTGTCATATTTCCTTTCTGAATTGAGAAAATTACTCTCGTATGATTGAAACTACCTAAGTTTCCCAATGTATGACTTGTTATTATTCTCAATATATGATAAATGGATGTATGCATGTGCATTCACGGTTCTTTTTATTCCTCGGCTGCCCTCAAGCTTAAATATAGGAACTCATTTATTATTCCTATTTAACCGCTTGTGATCGATATGCACGAACAGAGCAAAACATGTGTTCATTATTGGTCTTCCTAAAAATAAGGAGAGGAGTTATTCATATATGGTAACTGCTATGAGTAATAAATACTCAGTATTTCCTATTCTTCCTGATTTTTATTCCTCGGCTAACCTCTAATCCATAAATATGGAGTCTTTCTCCTATTTTTTCACATATGATAAATACTATTCCTGAAAATACGGACATATAATATAACAATTAATAGAATAACTTAAATCAAAATTAATTAATTTAGAGAAGAGATATATACTCGGAACCTTGTTTTCATTCCAAACCCTCGGACCATAATAATTACTGCCTTATAATACTACTCATAAATATATTACGGAGTATAATATATACTACGTAATATAAATACTGCTCATAATACAATATAATATTATTATATATAACGCTCATAATTATATGAATACGTGTGTGTATTTTACTACCCCTCTATATTGCATCGTAGATATACTTTCACCGCTCTTTCATTATTGCTGTCTGCCTGTCTATACGCCTAAAACTTGCTTACTGTCTATTATTTATATACATATATATTGCTTATAATTATATGAATATCTGTCTATGTATTTTATTGTCTCTCTATATTGCACCGTTAATATACGTTTATTGCTCTTTCTTTATTACTGTCTATACTCCTAAAATCACTTACGACCTATATTATATGGACCAATGTTCTAAAAGGCGCTAGGCGCTAGTCGGGCGTCAGCCCAGCGCCTAGCGCCTAGGCGGTTAGGCGGGGCGCCTAGTCGGGGACTAATCAGAGATATAAAAGTTGCATTTTTATCTATATTTTTACATAAATATGATAAGTAATATTGTATTTTTGTGTGTATAAAATACATATATACATATACATTAACAAACATGAATGATAAAATTATCACATTTAATCATACGTAGTATATGATAACTAATCACTTAACTTCATTATGTTATAGATATAAATGATGATAAAATTTAGGTATATATGCAAACATATATTTACACTTTTATCTTAATTTACGACTTCATTTCTTTATATCCATGGCTAAAGTTAATATATGTATATTGCTTAGAAAATTAAAATTAAAAAGTGAAGTAATGTTTGGCGAATCTAAACGGCCTAGGCGACCAATTAGGCGCTCTAGGCGGGCAACTAGGCGCCATAGGCGGCCGACTAATTCACCTAGACGGCAAACCAATTAGTCGGAGCGCCTAGACGAAAATCGGGGCGCCCGACCACCGCCTAGCACTTAGTCGGGGACTAGTCGGGCGGCTAGAACGATTTTTAGAACAGAGATATGGACTACATATTGCTCATAATTATATGAAAACCGGTCTATGTTTTTTACTGCCCCTCTATATTGCACTATAGATATACTTTCACTGCTCGGAATATTACTGTGTATACTCCTAAAAATTATTAATTGCCTGTATTATATATATATATATATACTATCGTGTATATATATATTGCTAATAATTATATGAACACCCATCTATGTATTTTATTGCCCTTCTATATTGCACCAGAGTCTATATTATTTAATGCTCAATATGTAATTACTGCCCTTCATTGTGGTATTTTTAATTTAGTTCGAATAGATTTTAATGCTAGAGAAAATAGTGCATGGAAAGAGAAGTTAATATTATAATTCCGCCAGATTAAATAATGTATAATCATTATGGATGA